CTAGAAATATTAGAAATCGCCAAAACGTTTCTCTTTACTGATTAGAAAATATTATGGCCTATCTCAAAGTATAGAGGTAATATTCATTATATTATAGATCTATTTATCATGATTGATTCCGTCAATTGGTCACAAAGTACAGGATGTTAGTGTTATACATATATACAGAAAACTAACACCCTGTATTTTGTGACCGGAACGACTTGCTCATTTAAACATATTAGATTTAAAGCCGTAGGGTTTTGTATTTACCATATATATTGCCATACTTTGTATTTATGTAGCTTAATAAGAGAATCTTTAGCAGAAGCCATAGAAAGTTTTTATTTTTAGACAACCTGTAAACCTGCAGAAAAAACACAAGTTATACAGTCAGCTTCAACTATTAAAAAAGAGGAAGAAGATAAAATAAAACCCGGTAATGAATCACAACAGCAATGCGAAATTAATGAAAATACAGATAAACAGAGAGCAAAACCTTCTCAGGAAGCTATGAAAAATAAGATTGCTATTAAGGTTTTTTGCATATCTCAAGTTGATAAAGCTTGAGTCCCTATTGGCGTAACTGCGGCAAATAAGCAAGCACCTCTTCTAATGCACATGGGATATAGAATCAAATTGCCTGATCACGATTGGGTAATCGCTGAGCGTCATAAATTAATACCATCTGTTTATGCTGGTATCAAAATCACTTCCAATATGCCAGGACAACGGCAAGCCGTTGGATATTCTGGACCAACATACATCGCTATTCGATGTGGAAAGCATGGTTCATCTACTGCTAATACTCATGCTCAGGATTTCGAGACGCTTATCGAAGAGTTTCGACCATTAGCTAAACACTGACCATGGACTAGTAAAACCAGTCGTAATCATGACGGTTGATGGAGGGCCAGATGAAAATCCACGTTATCAAAAAGTCATAGGGTTTGCTATACAACACTTTAAGCGACACGATCTCGATGCATTGTTTTTAGCTACCAATGCTCCTGGAAGAAGAGCGTATAACAGAGTAGAGCGCAGAATGGCTCCTCTTAGTCGGGAACTGGTTGGTTTAATATTGCCTCATGACCATTTTGGATCTCATTTGGATGAATGTGGTGTTACAGTTGATGAATATTTAGAAAGATCCAATTTCGAATTTGCAGGAAATGTATTAGCTGGAGTATGGAGTTCAATGTAAATTAATGGCTATAACGTTAATGCAAAATATGTTGGGGCAGGTGAACAAGATCTTTCTGATTTTCCAGACATCAAATGGTATTCAGAACATGTGCGTGAGAGCCAATACTTGCTTCAAATTGTAAAATGTAAAAATACATAATGCTGTCGTCCAAGAAGTGGCCTATTTAGATTACTAGACAATAGGTTTCTTCCATCACCTGTAAAACAAACAGTTGTAGACTTGGTTTTGGATGAAGGAGGGCAATTTCTTAATCTTCCACCCAATTTAATTCTACGCTTAAGTGCTTCACTCAAAGATTTCCTGCAAATGCCCTACGACTAGTTTTGTCCGATGGTAAAATTGAGGCTATCAAGTCGAACATGCAAAAAGTGTGGTCTTTATCATGCTTCTGTCAAGTCACTAAATCGTCACATCGAAAATATCCATAAAAAAGTAAACACGCACACTGATAAGAAAGTTAGACCTGTAAGAGTCGCTGCTCGTCGTGCTAATGAACTGATGTACATTATTCAAAATTTAGAGCACCATCATGTTGAATGGCTCGATGAGAACGACGTAGACATTCCAAAATCCGATGAAAGCGAGCAAACTCACAACACTGAGCAGCAATCGAAGCAATCCATTGTCATCGAAAACTTAGAATCATGGATTCGGGTTTCATGGACTGAAGACTTAATTTGAATTTAATATATGTACCAAAATTTAAAATAAGTTTGTTATGTTACTAGTAAGATATAATACTTGTGTACTTTACTCTATGTTGAATACCGTGTCCGTAAAATACAGGGTGGTCCATAAGTCCTTTGAAATTTCAAATTTGAATAAAATTTAGCGGGTGAGCGTGAGCGGCGCGGGCGAGGTGGGGGCAGAATCTTCAGTGTCTGGGAATTCAGTCGCCATGGAGTGTTTCACTGGAGCGGATCGTGCTTTTTGTGTGCACGCGTTTTATCAAAATAATGATTCGGCAACCATTGCGCGGCGTAAATATCGAGAATACCACAATTTACACAATTTTACAAAGTGTCCAACAGCTCAAACGATTAAGAACTGGATTGCTAAGTTCGAAGAGACTGGTTCGACGTTAGATAAACAGCGGTGGGGTCGACCAAGAACAACTCGTATTGAAGAAAACATCAACATTGTGGCACAGTCTGTTTGTCAAAATCCTACCCAGTCTACTCGTAAGCGTTCCAGTGCACTAAACGTACCCAGAACATCTTTACAGCGGATTTTAAGGAAAGATTTACGTCTGCACGCTTACAAAATTCAGTTAGTGCAGGAATTAAAAGATAATGACGCTATTCAGAGACTAAACTTTGCGAATCAAATGTTGAATCGATTTTCTTTGCTCAATAATGTGTTGTTCTCGGACGAGGCTCACTTCCATTTAAACGGGCATGTGAATAAACAAAATTGCCGTTATTGGAGCCCCGAAAATCCAAGGCGTAAGCATCAGAAGCCCTCACACAGCCCTAAAGTTACAGTTTGGGCTGCTATGTCAGCGCATGGCATCGTAGGCCCTTATTTTTTTGAGGACGACAGAGGTCACGCATTAACTGTTACTTCGGAGCGGTATGTAGCAACGATAGAAGAGTTTTTGACACCAGCGTTGCAGAATTTTCCAGGCTATAATACGCAGACCTGGTTTCAACAGGACGGAGCAACTGCCCACACCTCCAACACTTCTATGCCCGTCGTCTGTCAACTTTTTCCCAGCAAAGTAATTTCTCGAAGAGGAGACATTTCCTGGCCACCACGTAGTCCAGATTTGACCTCAATGAACTTCTTTTTATGGGGCTACCTCAAGAGTAAAGTGTACGACACCACTCCGCGATCAGTTGATGTCCTGAAAGAAAATATCCGAAGAGAAATTGCAAGCATTACAGTGTTGACTTGCCGCGCAGTCATCGACAATTTTAGACGTCGTTTATATGAGTGCCGTGATCGTAATGGATTGCATTTAGACGATGTAATTTTTAAAACATAATTCCCATTCAATAAAGATGATAACAATATATAATAATTCTTCATAATGTAACTAGTTTGGTTTTATTCCTTTTTCTCCAGCTCAAAGGACTTATGGGCCACCCTGTATAATCTCTAACCTAAATCTAGTTTCTTATTTTTTAAATTATAATTATAACGTTATAATTATAATATTAAAAAAAAAGCAATACATTAATTGACAAATGTTTACGTAAGCATGGGGGAGAGGGTAAGAGCTTTGCTTACTTTTGCTGACAAGGGGGATGGGAGGGTAAATAATTGTAATAAATCTGCTTACGTAATACTTGAACGGCCCCATAGACAGTCAATAATATCTGGAATCCTAGACTATAAAGCGTTTATGAATAATCCGTTTATCTTTCGAAGCAACACTTTCGTAGGTGTAATATGTCTTTTGTGAAATGCAGAATCCGAAAGCAGCGGACAAACGGAAAAATCCGAATCCGCGGAGCGTAAAGGTATCTGATGGACACAAAAATTGTTTTGCATTTATCACATTTTTAGGAAAGAAAGTTGTTCTACATAAAGTGATGGAATAGTGGGTTTTGGTTAATTGTTTCAGAACAATGGCTTTACAAAAAGAACCTTACACTGGCAGTGAGTCGGCTGCTTTTCATAGTGTCTCGCTGTGAATATAATATTGTTATAGTTAAACAACGTGCTCTCGAGGAAAGTATGACTGACGATAATAACAATTATTATTATAAAGTGGTTCTAGATGAAATTGATACTTTCAGTGCGTTTTACTTTTTTTATTGCCTAAGCGTTGTTGACAATTAAAAAAGCTTATCAGGTGTGCCATATTGTTCAAAACGTTACAAATAAAATCATTCGTCAACAACAATATTTTACCTCTTTGCATTATACAATGGATGGCAAAATCAACCTCTTACTACTTTTAAGTTGCTCCTGACCCTGCCTTTCGAACTACGAATGTAGCGTTGAGTCCAAATTTGACCAAGGTATTTGCTCTAGAACATGGATTCCCAAAGTGGTCTATATCGACCCCTAGGGATCTATGACAACCTGCAAGGGGTCTACGTCAGCGAAAAAAAATTTGGGGGTCCATGAAATGAATATGGGGGTCCACGATAGTGGATCTCAACACATACACTGATAGTACCTATTTACTTACATCATACTATCTTATAATATCAAAACATATACATTATTTATAAAAGTACCTAAAATATAATATAAGTAAAAAATTTATTATATATGTTTATAAAATTATGTAAGTTGTAGGATGTTGGTATTCGCTTTGTGGTCGCAATACATTTTAAACTTGTAAAAACCTGAGAGTCGCAGTCTCAGAGCTTCGCTACCTTGCACTGACTTGTTTAATTCGTCACTCTATAAATACGAATGTGGGACAAATACGTTTATTCGTTTCCTGAATCTTGAAAAGGAAAGTGCTAAGAAAATATTTTAAAAAATATAAACACACACAAATTATAGTGAGTCAGTGTTATTTTGTTTGAGAGTGCTGGAGAAAAATAAGTACATTATTTGTTATTAAATTTTAGTTTTGTACTCGTAGTTAGCAAAGATAGATAAATTACGCCAATCATGACTTTAGTTATTAGTACTTAAATATTCAATCATGCAAAATTACACGAGCACTCCTCAATAGTTTCTTTTTGAAAGCTTTAGCAATCGGTAATATAATTACAGTGCAATCTCCGTAATTCGAGCTAATTGTTGCAAAAAGATGTTCGAATTATGAAATGTTTTCGGAAAAATCAAAAAATATTTTTAATCTACAGCTGCTGGATTTTCTGTCTTATTTAAATAATTTAATTTTGCCCACAGATGACTGATGCCATGTCCGAATCTAATAAGAAATGTAGACAGTACAGTGTTGATTATTTGAAATTTGGCTTCATTCCATCATTGCCGGACAAACAATCGCCTATGTGCCGTTTATGCAACACAGTTTTGGGCAATGACGCTATGAAACCATCTAAACTGCAAGATCATCTAAGAAGATGCCACCCTGATAAAACAGAGAAAGATTTGAAATACTTTCAAACACTCAAAGATAAATTTCAGAAGAGACCTACACTGGACAGAATGTTCGCAAAGAAATGATGATGGTTTGCGGGCGTCTTACAATATCTTGTTACTTATAGCAAAATCTGGAAAACCGCATACTATCGGAGAGAAGTTAATTTTGCCAGCCGTTGAAGAGGTTTTAAAAACTGTTTTACACAAACCTGCATCTGATATCATTAAAAGAATTCCCTTAAGCAACAATACTGTTGAAAGACGTATTGATGAAATGAGTTCTGATATTGAAAGCTTCTTATGTAATTATTTGCAAACGACCCACTTCTCTATACAACTGGACGAGTCAACTTTACCTGATAATGCAGGATTATTATTGGCATATGTTCGTTTTATTATGAATCAAGAAATCTACGAAGAACTGCTCTTCGCAAGAACTTTGATAACCGTCACTAAAGGTGAATCAATATTTCATGTTTTGAAGGATTACTTCATTGAAAAAGCAATTCCTTTATCAAATATAATATCAGTAGCTACAGATGGAGCACCTGCCATGGTTGGACGTTATCGTGGATTTATAAGCTATTTAAAACAAAATGTGTCAAGGGTGTTAGCAATACATTGCGTCATCCATCGACAACATTTAGTTGCTAAAAATTTTAGTGTTAGATTGCATGAATCACTTCATTTAGTCATTGATGCAGTAAACCGAATCCGAAGCAACGCGTTGAATACGCGGTTATTTGCGCAGTTGTGTGAAGAAAATGACGAACACTTTCATCAATTACTCCTTCACACTGAAGTACGCGGGCTGTCGAAAGGCTTATGTTTGACAAGATTTTTTGCACTTTTCGAGACTATTTTAGAATTTCTGGATACTAAAGATAAAATTTTAAAAGAAAATTTAATGAAGAGGAAAACAGACATCGCCTATTTAACAGATTTGTTTACAAAATTTAATATGGGGTTAATTTTCAATTACAAGGCGACAGTTTAAATTTGATTAAAACAAAGTCCATCTTATCAGCGTTTCTTGCCAGAGTTAAACTAATGAAGCAAAATATTGGACGGGGCGAATTTTCTCAGTTCCCCAATTTGTCACAGACAAGCTGCCAGGAAGACGACGTTTCAACTTACGTTCAACATTTAAATGCCTGCATTGGAAATAAGTGCCCGCATTGATTTTTTTAAAGAACCCCCCTTTATAGAAAATATTTTTTTTTAAATTACTCTGAAAATTCAAGGATAGGTACACACTAAAATTCGTTAATTTTTTGCCTATTTTTAGATAACAACATATAAGAAGCGGAATTCAATCAAACCAACAGTGAAATTATTGTAGAACATATGTTTATGTTATAATTAATAAACGAACTCGCTTATTGTACTATTTTAAGTAAAAAACTTTTTTTTATTATTTTTCACTTTTTATTTATTTTATCCCTCTTATTTTTTTTTTCAATGCGGGCACTTATTCCCAATGCGGGCACTTATTGGTCAGACACCTGTTTATTTAATGTTACGTATATTTTACATAACAGATACAAAATTTTATTTTGAGTAGTTTTAATTTAAATTCAATTAATAAATCTATAAATTAACATGTATTTTTACTTTAAATTTTCAACACTAAACTTCACTACAGTTAGAAATTTACAGGAAATCAATCTCAGGTAAGTAGGGGGTCTACCTCACATGGAAAAACATGGCAAGGGGTCTACGACACAAAAAAGTCTGGGGAACTCTGCTCTAGAAGATCCCACAAAGACCATATGGGGATTGGGTTTCATTTTTTTTTAAAAGCTTAGTATGTTGGAGAGCTCAACAAGTAGAACAAAAATGCCCACGGGCCCACAGTTTTTCCACAAGTAGTTTCCGAGATGCAGTGCTTCCTAGTACCCTATAACAGCAGATTTCGGATTCGACACAAGATATGGAATACCTGTTTGATATTTATTTACGTTACTATCATTATCCCTTCTAGTCGAATCATATTAACAGATTTTCCCAGAATAACTGTTAGATTTGGTTTTATTGATGCGAGTTATTCAAGGGGGTATTCAAAACAGGATCGCATAACATGGGTACACCAATTTTTGTGGGAAAACTTTTTATCCTACAACAAAGAATGAAAATACGTGTTTTTTGGTATTCAATCGACAGTGTTGTCAGGAACCATACAACTCTTCAAATAAGTTTCTTAGATATTTATGAGACCTACAGAATGAGACCACACGTCAAAACATCCGAGTAATAGTAAAAAAGGTATGGCAAAATGCAGGTTATGGCTCTTGTTGCTAATGCGAAGATAATTTCACGCAGCTACTTGAAATTCTTCAAATCCTTAGGCTTCGTACTTTTAAATAACCACAACAAAATTTGAGTCGATTGGTTAAGTAGTTTTTGAGAATCTCTAATTACTTGTCCCAAAACATCTGTTTTCAGGCCATCACTATTAGTTTACTGAGCAATATACAAGGTTCGTTCAAAGAGCAAATACCCGAGTTTACCTTGCCGAGATGAATCACAAACCATTCCGAAAGATAATATTGATATTTTGAGAGAAGTTTGACGCTTACGAATTTGAAGAATTTCAAATATCTGCGTGAAACTATCGTCTCATTACCAACAAGTGCGAAAACCTGCATCTTGTCTCGGTTTTCGGCCATAACTTTTTTATTATTAGTCGGAACTTTTTACGTGTGGTTTCATTCTGTGGGTGGAGTATTGCCCCAACACATCAGCTGTTTTGAAAACTGTTTAGGATTATCTTGCACCGTAACTGTGGTAATAATAAAATATTCAGGATTATACAGTGTTCGATAATTCGATAATTGCCTAAAAAACGAACACCTACTTTCCTATAGATAGCTGTAGTATCTTACCTATTCAGATAGAGCTACATACCTTTGAGTTTTACTCCCGACGCCACTGGCGAGGAAGTGTTGTAATCGCAAAAAATTCAAAACAATATATTACGTTTTTTGGATGTTACAGGTATAACAAGTACAATCTGCGGAAATTTAAAGTTCGTCGCCTATTAGTCTACCGAGTAAGAATGAAAGTTGCTTTCAGATGAACTGAGCGTGCAATGTCCTTCTGGGTCTTGTAGGGTAAGGTATGAGGCCTACTTAAAATACCTCATGACCCCAACCTACAGGGTGTAAACAGTATGTCAGTCATTATTTAAATAAGTGATAGTGGGGGTTAAAAGAAGCTCAAAGTTTCATATAACATGGGGGTCAAAACGGCATTTTTTAGAGGAAAGCGACTTTAAAGTAAAATAAAATCTGACATCGCCGCAATGCCAGACGCAAATTACGACGGAACGCAGTGTAAATAAAGATGGAGTTTGTTATTTTTGGCTCTTAGGTATTATTTCATTATTTGATAATGTACTCGTAAAATGCAAACAATTAAAAAAACGGACTTACCACTAACTGTCTCAGCGCTTCACGTGGTGTGTGAAAGTTCATTGAACGTAAAAAAATCTAGCTATAAATAAGGAACACAATTTTGATACATACACTGTTTTTCTTTTTGAAACCCACACTGCACCTTTTTGTATTTAAAGAAGGTGTTCAAAATGTCGTCCTCCACTTTCCACACAAGCTTCATTACGACGAACCCAGTTTCTTCTTACTCTAGGTCCTCGAAGTTGTCCATTTATTATTTCAGCCGCATTAAATTTCGCGAAGTTGTGCTTCAGTTGTTATTGGACCAGCCCCATAAACCATCCCTTTAAGTTCTCCCCAATACCAGAAATCGATCGGATTGAGGTCAGGAGATCTTGCTGGCCATTTTCGAGGATCAGGAGCATTTCGACCGATTTGGATAATGTTCATTCAAATACTGTATGACGCCTCTAACAATGTGTGGTGGTGCCCGGTCATGAAGAATCCACAAATTCTGTCTCCGTTGTAATGGCATGTAGTCTAAGGTCTGTTCCAAAAGTTCGGGTAGGTTATTGGCTAGAATGTTAAGGTATCCTTCTCGTGACAACTTTGGGGGTAACTCGAAAGGGCCAATTACCTGTTCGTCAAGAATACCCGCCCAAATATTTATTTTAAAACGTCGTTGGAAACGACTTTCCCGAATGGCATGAGGATTTTCTTGGGCCCTCGTGTGAGTATTATGGAAATTTAATATCCAGCCTCACGTAAAAGTACATTCGTCTGTCGCTAGAATGTTTTTAAAAAAATGCTTGTGCAAAAACCACTGACAGAATGTTAGTCTGCGAGGATATTCTTCTGGTAACAAGGCCTGTGCTCGTTGTACACGGTAGAGATAAAGCAAATTTTCCCGTAGTGTTCTATGGACTATGGTATGCGATAGTCCTACCCGGCGACCTACTTCCCGAGTGCTGATATCTGCATTGATTTCCACGATACTTAAAATCTGTTCCTCCTGCTCTACAGTAACCTGTCTTTCACGAGTGCGAAATTAGTAGGCTGAACACTTCCTGTATCTTGAAGTCTTTGGTACACGTGCACAAATGTCCTTCTGTCTGGGTGTACCCGTTGGCGAAACCTGTCGCAATAAATTTGAGCTGCAAGATTTGAATTCTGACGAGCTTCACCGTAAACTAACAAGATGTCGGCGAACTCTTGATTCGAGAACATTGTAAACAAACTCCACGACGTACGCGAACAAAAACAAAACAACACGCCCCATGCCCGATAACTAACCACTGTTACCGTTTGCAATTGATTGCTGGTTCGATAAGAGTGATGAAAGACCGACGCGCTGATGTCATGTGTGTTTTAAATATTTAATTTGATGAAACTTACTGACTACAAAAAAAATTAAATTTTGGCTTAACTTAGAAAAACTTAATGACATTTATTTGCTAAATACCCATATAAAAACGTTTTAGATTAGACTATAAAAATTAGTAAGATTGTAGTGATTGTGGTCGATATAAAGCTCTTAAAGTTGTAAACTAATCTATTGACTTTTGGACCATGGGTCATATGAACTTTTTGACTTGTTTTGACCCCTCTTATTACCCATTCCAATAATGACTACCATAACGTTTACAGCCTGTATAATAATTTTGAAAATAGCCAATATAGCTATTTCTAGAGATCGGCAATTCTCTTGAATGGCAAGGATTTTTCTCAAATTTCAGTATGAATACAGGTAAGTAGTCCTCATGCATACTGTCCTTAGTAACGTTTCTCCAACGTTCACCCTTTTCGAGTTGTAAACAGTTTTTGGGGTTCTCAAGTGTCTAAAGTTCAAATCTTCGCTTATCGCTTACAAGACTCCGAACAGTATCTCAGG